GCCCCCGCCCCGCCGCGCCTGCGCACTGCGCCCACCGCCCCGCCGCGCGCAGCCTCGTGAGGACGCTCCCGGCTGCGAGCCCGCCAGGACCAGCTGGGCGCTTGCCAGTAGGGCCGCGTCTAAGGGCCCCTCCCCCGCGCCCTGCGCCCACCTCTGGCCCTGAGGGTCGAGTGGGGAGCCCCACGACGCTCTTACAGCCTTCCAGATGCACCGGCTGGGAAACTGGGGCTCAGAGAGGTCAAGTGGCTTGCCCAAGGTCACCCAGCGAGTGATGTGGGCAGAAGGTACCAGGGCCGGGCTGGGAAGGGCGCCCGAGTTCGCCCCAGCCGCGCTCTGCGGAAAGGCAGGGGGGCCGCCCACCCTGCTCCCTGAAGCTTCCTGGACTTCTCTAAGTCATGTCGCGTTGCTGTCCCCTCCATTTACAAGAGAGTAAGTCAGGGCGCCGTCCTTCGCCGCGCCTGAGCTCAGAGCGCCAGCCCCCTGAGACCCTCCAGCTCCGAGGTCGGTTATGTAAAAGCGCGTGCCCTTCTGGCCGTCTTTGTCATCCCGACTTGCTCCTTGGTTGCCATTCTCGTAGGTCATACACCGGCTGTGCCTGGACGCAGATGAGTGAGCCGCGTCTGAGCTCATCCGCTCCCGGGGAGAGGCCCTGGGACGCCCCGCCTGTCGGTGGCAATGTCCTCTTATCCCCTTCCGCCCACCCCCAACTGCCAGCAAATGCTCTCCCAGCCCATTTCAGATTTCCCGAGGCGTGTGGAATAAACGTCCCCCAGGAGGCCAAGGACTCCAGTCCTTGTCGTGCCATGTTTCCTGCCTTTTAACACCCAGCTCAAGTTCCGGCCTCAATGTCACCTTCCCTGGCAGCCTCTCAGGACCTCCCTGGCAAAGCCAGTCACTTCTCAGTGTCCCCCCAGCTTGGTCAGAGGTCATTCACAAACAGCTGTAATTCTGTTTTCCGTGGGCCATGAGCGTCTTAGGGACAGAACTTGAGTTTTGTTTTTGAGGGGGAAGGTTCCCAGCCTGTGGTACAGGGGGCAGGTATGGGGGTTACCAGAAATGTCCCTTGAAGGAATAAGTCAGTGGCATGCCACTTTCAGCCAGTGGCCCAAGGACAATCCCCACAGTCCTCCAGGCAGTCCCCGCACTCCCCAAGGGGAGTGGGAGGTGGCAGAAGTCTTGCAAGCTCTAAGTCCCAGACCCCAGTACCCAACTGCCCTCACTTGCAAGAACCCAGTGCTCCCCGGGGAAGGTGCCTTTTCAGAGTCCCCAGTAAGAGTCTTCCTCATGTCTCTCTTTAGTCTAAACTTGCAAGAGGCAGAAAAATGACACAGTTAAAAGCAAGGCCTCTGGGGTTCAACAGCCCAGATTTGGAATCGTGGCTCTGCTGCTCACTCGCTGAGATCTTGAGCCAGTTTCCTCATCTCGGGATCCTCATCTGTCAAGTGGCAATGACAACCAAACCGATTTCATAAGAAGTTCACGAGGATTAAATGTGTTAACTCTTAATGAAATACCCAAAACAGCATTCCACATATCCTAAATGCTGAGCTAATCTTTGCTTTGCGTTTTTCCCTGCTGCAGGGCCATCCTCTGGGCCTTCTGGGCATCCTGAGCCTCCCTCGCCTTCCCTTCAGCTGTAGCTCCCAGGGACACTGGGCAAACACCCATCTGTGGAATCCTCGCTGCTGGAAACAGTGCTTCCCCACGGGCCGACTAAGGGAAGGACCTGGGGCCCAGAGTCAGGCTTGTAGGCTGCTTGTGGCTGCTTTTCTCAGTCCCGGGTCTGTGACTGGCCTCTCATCCCCAGAAACAAAAGGGCACTTCCCAAACCACCCTCACCCAGAAGGGAAGGAGTACGGATGGCTATATCCCTGGCTTCTACCCGCCTCGATATGCCACTTGGTTAATTAACCTGGAGGCTGAGCTTCTCAGTCCCCACCCCCAAAACCTGAGTTCTGCCAGCAGTCCTGTGGGGCAACAGGAGGGACTTATGAGACAATGCCTTTTCCTTTTAGAACTGAAGGGAAGCACACACCTCTGGCTTATACTCCTGTGTCACAGGACTTACATTCAAGGGTGGGATTCCCTAACAGCTGCTTGTAAAGGGGGAAAGAGGGATGGAGAGTATCTGGGATGAGCACAGAAGAGAAGGGGGCCTGGATGCCCAGAGGCTTCATCGGAACATTTAGACGCTCTCTATTCTAACAGCTCTTCTCCTTCTGTGTCTTCCATTCAGACCATCTGCCCCAGTGACAGTCCAGACCTTGAAGACTCACTGTTTTTATTAAGCACCGATGAAGGGTCAGCCCTGTGTTTACAACTTTGCATTAGCTATAGTTCTCTCAACACCCTATAGGGAAAATTCTATTTATCATCACTTACAAAGAAGGAAACTGAGGCCCGGAGCAGTTTAATACCACCCTGCCTAAGGTTCCACAGCTGTCAGCGGGGGATCCCAGGCCAGCCTGACTCTCTGACCCTTCTTTTTCCCTTTCTGTTTCTGCCTTCCCAGGTAGCAGTCTCGGACACTCCTGACTGGCTCTCTGTCCTGCCCCGATCTGAGCTGGCAGAGTCAGTCTACCAGCAGCTGGGGAGGAGGGCTATGCACTGGGAAACTGGCAGCAAGGGTACTGAATCTTCTGCTCCAGACCCTCCTTCTCCGAGAAGCTTCCAAGAGGGCAGGTGCCAAGTGCTGGGAGTGTTCATGCAGGGTCCTCCAGGGAGGAGGGAGATGAATGTCTCTGTGAGATGCTCAGGAAATTGTCCCCACCCACCAACCTGGCTGAGCTATTGGCTGTGGAGCACCTCCATGCCATGCTGCATACTCTGCTGATCTTCATGAGATCACCGTCCTGCAGGCACTAACCCTCAGATACTTTTGAAAAGGAGAAATCAGGTCTTGGGAAAGGTGGTGATTTTCCCGCAAGCAGCTGCAGATGGTACTCACACTCAGGTCTTTCAGCTTCCAGGCCAAAATACTGGTGTATTTTCTGTAGAATACACCAGTACTCACTGAGCACATACTATGTGCAGAGACTGCTCTGGGTCCAGCGGTCATAGCCATGGGCAAAATGGACTTCTCCAAAGGCCCTTAAGGCCAAGGCTCTTGGGGCTGCTTACTCCATCTGCAGAGTTTGTGGTTACACTGACCAGATGCTCGGTCTAGACTGGAAGCCCCATGCTGCAATAAAGAACTGTGGTTGCTCTTTCTTTTCACATCTAGGTCTGGGACTAGCCTCTCAGCCCCAAGACAGAAGGGTACTTCCCAAACTCACTTCACCCAGTGACACTGGGCCATCTCAGAAAACACAGCAAGTCCCTGCAGCCCCAGCTCCCTGCCATGGCACTGTCTGCCAGAATCCACACCTGCCTCCTCTTTCCCCACCTGCTGACTCCTGGGGAGAGACAGATGTGTCTCTGACCTTTATGACACTAACGGCAGTAAGTCGGACAGCCACAGCAACTCAATGTCATCAGACGAGACACAATGTAGAGAATGTGTCTATGAGGAAGTTTTCATATTTGCACAGAACTGCTGCTCACACTACCAGCTTCCTCTTCCTCTTGTTTAAGAAAGGTGAATCCTATCCCAGTTACTCCAAAACTCTGCAGTGCCATACTGTGAAGTCCTAATCTGACTGCACCGAAGGCCAGAGAAACCTCAGCTTGGCCCCCAGTTGTCCTGCTTACTGTCCTCCTCACAGGATCATTCCGAGGTTGAAACTGAAGCATTAAGCTCACGCAGGTATCACGTGCATTTTAAAGCTTTTCCACTCTCTGTTGTCTCTACTCTACCAGCATTGTTTGTGTTCCTGTTCACGCGTAACACAGCTGATCCTGGTCATCTGTGGACCCCTTTGCCTTCATACTGTCCTCAGAGCCTGCTCAGCTGCCCAACCCCAGTGCCTGACCCAGTGGTCAGTTCACAGCAAGCACTCAACGTTCATTCTGGATGCATGTCTTCTGGAATGCAGTCCTGGAACAGCACTGCTACCCAGCACTGCTACCCTGAGCTCAATGCGTTTGTCATGTAAGACAGGCACCAAAAGCTGGCACACACTTACCTAGGAATCAGTCATTTATGTGTCACACACACACACACACACACACACACACACACCACCCAATGTGAGGGTGGATGGAATCAGACCTTCAATCCCAGTCACTCACATACATGAAGACACCTATCCTTCTGTCTCTGTACCCATCTGTCCTACAAATCTATACCCTCCTCTCAGTATTTGGTAGATGGAAACTTCAGTTTCTCTCGCCAGATCTCTTCTTTGACGAAAGAATCCAGTCCTCCTCGATGTCTTTTTGCAGCTTAAAAAAAAAAAAAAAAAAAAAAAAAAAAACACCACACACACAGATATTGTGCACACACCCCCTAGTGGCCACATGTGGAAACACATGCCCCACAAAGTTCGCGTTGGGGTTGATAACCACCAGGGTTTGAGAAGGAAAGCCCAGATAGCAATTCCATCCTAGGAAGGTGGATAGTGAAAGATGATTTTATGTGGAAGACCGTAAAAAGGAAAAAGACAAAGAAAAGGGGGCAGGAAAGAAAAATGTGATAGAGAAAAAGAAGACAGGAGAACAAAAGGATGATTAAAGAGAAGAGAAGAGAGAAGAAAATAAGAGAAGCTTAAAGGAGGGATGTTTCTCAGTGTTAAGCCTTTCTCTATTTCAAATATAGGCACAAAAGGTAATGTAAAATAACAGTAATTGGTGTGTCCAGGGTCATCTGGCCATCCTGTAGCACAGGCAGGTGGGGACAGATGAACCAAGGATGAGAGGGGACAGGGCCTGTATCTGACCCCATCACTGCCTGACTTGGTAATATTTTCAAAATCCAAAGCTTTCTCTGCCTCTATTTCTGAGCTTGTAAAGGGTAGCTAATAGCGGCTGTTCTTTTCCTATTTTATTGAGGCCTGATGAGAACAGTAGAGATTTGCAGAGAAAACCCTGAAAAGTGCTCTCAGCTCTTGGACATAACCATCACAGAAATGTGTTTTATTATTTTTCTCAATGCAGCAAAAACCCTCTATCCTTTGCTTCCTGGTCTAAAAGATTCTATGTGATGCTGGAGTGCCCAGAGTACTTGCTGTATTTCAACAATGCGTCAAGTCATCACCACCTCAAGTGCTTTGGAAGACGCTGTGATTTGGAAAGCACTGTCAAAATGTAAAACATTATTGCCACAGTAGTAAAAATATCTGTGTCCATCTCCTAACCCACTATTTCTTGTCAGGATGCATAGAGATACACACAAAGCAATTCCGTCCACATTAGCAGAATGCTTTACAGCAGAATTGCACATATCTGAGTTTGGCAACATAATCAGAAACAAAATATTTCTGTCAGTGTCAAGTTACCCTTAGTGTCTGAACAGCTACCAAGGGGGTGATAAAGTGTTTAGTATCCACTGCAAATGTGAACATCCGGGGCTCATATAAAAACGCCAACCTGGGCTCGTGTTTTTCTTAAGAAAGGAAGAAACAAACTTTACAAAAATGGCTGTGGAAAAAGAATGGACATAAAGCTGAGATTGTGTACTTATGTTAGATCATTAAATTACAAGAGAAACATTTCTTCTCAAAACCAAAGTAGGCTTTTGTTGGTGACCCAACTGCAGACTCATTGAAAGTCTCTCTAGATTTCATTCTTTGGTATCTCTCTAGCATAGCACTAGCCTTCCAACTAATACCAGCCTCACCATGTCTGGATTTATACCAGGGTGACACAGAACACCTCAAAATCCATTGCTTGTTGTTAATGGCAGGACGAGGGTTACTGGTTATACCTGGACAACCTTGATCGACTTCATCATGCCTCTGATGCCAGCTGGCATATGTGAACACTCCAGCTTCCTCTGGCAAATGTTATCCTGAGAACAAATTTTCTCCGTCTTCATAGCCGTACTTGTTGGTCTGCAAGCAGCAGCAACTTAGATATACAAACTCATGATCTGTGCACAGTTCAACAGTAAGTTACCCTTGAGCATATGGTGGTTGAGGCCATAAGCTGAGGAGTCTGACGCTGCTGTGGGCCTGCCCCTAATAATCGGGAAGGTTTGGGCAAAGCAGTGCCTTTGGGCCTCTTTTTCTGCACTTGCAAAATGAAGGCAATATCACCCCCTTCCCTGCAAACAGTTACTTTAGGACCTCCATGAGCTGAATATATTTAAAGTGCTTATCACAGAGCCTGGCACTCCAGGGGCACAGAATGACTGCAGCATCAGTAGAGCAACACCATCCAAATGTGAGCCACATGTATAGTTTTAAATTTTCTAGAAGCCAGTTGACAATGTATAAAGAGACAGATGAAGTTAGTTTCAATACGGTTATTTATTTAATCCAATATATCAAGAATACCATTTCAATATGTAATCAATAACTTTAAAATATTAATGAAATTTTACATTATTTTTTATTTTGACAAAGTCATTGAAATCTGGTGTGTAGTTTGCACCTACAGTACATCTCAATCAAAAGTAAAATTTTCAACAGCTAAGGTAAAATGTGG